CCGAGCGGGGGAGGCGAACAGGCAAGTCATAAGAGCGCCGAGAAGAAGCGGAAGGCGAACGATAGCGTGCGCAAAATCTCCAAGAGGGAAAAGCACAAGCTGAGAGTCGGGTCGTGGAACGTGTGCGGGTTCGCAAGGAGTGAGCGGCAAGCGGTTGGAAAAAGTGAACCAAGTAGACCAGGCGATCTAGATGTAGTGGGGATCCAAGAGACGTGGGAATCGAAGGATGGGGACGTGGAAAGCAAAGTAGGGAGATACCGGTGGGTAGGGAAGGCAAGAAAGAGCTTAGACCCGAAGAAATCGGGGGAGGGGGGAGTCGGACTCCTGGTCAAGGAACACTTGTTTGACGTGGTGGAAGTAATGGTGAAACAGAGTTCGAGGAAAGCCTTCGGCTTAAGATACCTGGGGAGCGGGGTGAGAAAGATTTGTTTCCAGGGAACGAACACGTCCCACCGTCGTCGAAGAAAGTCGCAAGCAAGGCGCAGGAGAAACTTTGGACAAATTGGGGAAGATGTCCAGAGGTTCAGTAGGAAGAGAGAANCAGCACGGAGAAGACAAAGTGAATGACAACGGAGTGAGGATGCTTGAATTCTTGGGAAGCAACGAACTGATGGTGCTGAACGGTAGGAGGAATGCGATAAGCCGGCAACGGGCAGTTTGCAATGAACACTCGATCCTCGAGTACATGCTGGTACTGGTAGAATAGGGGGAGCACGCAGATTCCAGAGCTGTACGTATGTGCGATAGATATAGGTTCGACCGACCACTTCCTTATATGGGCAAACATTGACCGATCTAGAAAGATGGAGAATAAGAAACAGAGGGAAGTGTCCCGGTGGAAAGTAGACTAGAGCGTTTGGGAGACGAGGGGGCACGGGATGAATTCCAGAAGGGATTGGCTGGTAGTGTGGAACCCTTCAGGAAACTGCTGAGAAGCGTCGAAGACGGACAAGTAGACGTACAAGCAGCAGCAGGGGCAGGGTGATTGAAGGGTGGGAGTCCATAGTGAACGCAACGGCAGAGAGAGTAGTGGGAAAAAAGGTGGTACGGTGTGGGGTATCGGTTAGGTGGTGGGATGACGAGCTGAGAGAATAAATAGGGGAACGTAGAGAAGTCTTCAAGCAGTACCTGAGTGAGGCGTCTGAGGAGAGTTGGGAAAAGTACAGGGCCAAGAGAAAACAGGTGAAGGGGCTAGTGAAAAAGAGGAAAAAGTGAATTTGGGACGAAGTGGTGCAGAAGGCCAACGGAGGCCTGGCGNAGCTGAAAGAAGAAATAGGGGAACGTAGAGAAGTCTTCAAGCAGTACCTGAGTGAGGCGTCTGAGGAGAGTTGGGAAAAGTACAGGGCCAAGAGAAAACAGGTGAAGGGGCTAGTGAAAAAGAGGAAAAAGTGAATTTGGGACGAAGTGGTGCAGAAGGCCAACGGAGGCCTGGCGGAGAACGTCAAGCAGATGTGGGAAGGGATTAGTGGAATGGTAAAAAAGACCGCGCAAGGGGGGGACACGGGGGTAGCAACTTTGCGAAGTGTGAACGGTGGACTAGTCAGCAGTGGGAAGCGAAAAAGGGAAGTTCTAGCAGGACACTACAAGAGACTTGGAGTGCCCTCGGAGAATGAAGCTTTTGACCAAGCGTTTAAGAATGAGGTGGACATATGGGCCCAGAAAGAAGATAAGACATCGAAGGCAGACGTTGGGAACGTAGAACTAGAAAAGGAGTTCACTGAGAACGAGGTTGAGGCGTGTGTGAACAAGCTGAAGCACCACAAAGCAGCAGGAGCGGATGGGATAGTCAACGAGGTTATGAAGGGGAAGGGGATAATCCAGCTGATGGTAATGCTGTACAATTGGGTGTGGAAAAACGAGCATACACCAAGGAGTTGGAGGGGAAGAGCGGTGTAAACTTGTTTAACAAAGGAGACAAGACTGAGCCAGGAAACTACAGGGGGATCACACTGTCGAACACAGCAGGAAAAGTGTTCTGTAAGCTGCTGAACGATAGGATAGTGGGAGTATTGGAGAAGGAACATAGCATTAGTGAGGGCCAGGCAGGTTTCCGCAAGAAGAGGGGGTGCGTAGACCACGTGTTCACGGTAGGGAGAATCATCCAAGGTAGAAAGAGGGCGGGAAAGCCGACGTACTGCTTCTTCCTGGACGTGAAAAAGGCATACGACACCGTATGGACAAACGGGCTGTGGAAACAACTGTCCAAGTACGGAATCAAGGGGGAAATGTGGAGAGTGCTGAAGAAGATGACAGAGTGTACGAGAAGCGCAGTCATGTTGGACGGAGAACTGTCAAAATTCTTCGACATTGAGCAGGGGGTCCCACAAGGTTGCACGCTGTCCCCAACATTGTTCCAGGTGTTCATCAACGATCTGTTGGAAGTCGTAGAGGCAGTCCGGAAGGGAGTAAAAGTAGGGGACACGGCAACGTCGTGTTCAAGAATGCTGTTTGCGGATAATTTTGTCGGTATGTCGGACACCCCTGAGGGACTGCAACTGCAAATTGACGCGGCGAAGAAGTTTACTGATAAGTGGAGATTGTCTGCCAACGTTAAGAAGAGTGCCGTCATGGTATGCAACGATAACAAGGAGGAACCAGTAGAACATAGATGGAAGTGGGGGATCGAGGAGATTGCAGTAGTGGACCAGTACACATACCTCGGAGTAGAGATCGCAAAAGACTGCTCGTGGAATGCACACATGTCCAAGGTAGCGGAAAAGGGCAAATCACGAGCAGGGAAGCTGCATCCAATACTCGCAAACCGGCACCTCGATACACGCATCAAATTGACGGTTTTGAAGAGCGTAATCGTACCACCACTAGAGTATGCCGGAGAAGTATGGGAAGGAAATTAGAAGGTAGTGAAAGAACTCGAGGCGGCGCAGATGAAAGC